TGTTTAGATACGGTTCAAAATGGCGCCCATCGCTGGAAAACATGTTTACCAAAAGCGAAGACGAATAGATACGGCGCCATGTCTCCACTGCCAGGCCTGGGCCGCTCAATGACCACGAACAGGGAAGACAATACACATGCCAGACAGGGCGACGATGATGAGGAAGAGGAGGAGGATGAGGAGGAGGAGGAGGAGGAGGAGGAGCAGGAAGTGAAGTGGGAAATCATGGATGGCGGGCGAGCCGAATGATCATGAGGACGAGGACGACGAAGCAAAAGAGTCATTTTCTTCAATCGCTGATCGACTTCATCCCCGTCCTGATTCCCCCTCCTCCGTGTTTTCCTTCTGGCTCCCTCCAACTCCACCTCGCGCCTCTTGCCTCCTCGCCGCGCGTCCTCCTCCTCCTCCTCCTCCTCCTCGTCCGCGTTCATCGTCCGAATCACTCCTCCTCCTCCTCCTCCTCCTCCTTCTCCTCTTTGCCCTCCCCACCCTACGGTTCTCTGTTCCGACCCAGTTCTCTCCTAAATTTCGTTTCGTCGTTGTTACCCATCCTGCTCCTCGTCGTTTTTGTCGTCGTCGCTCGTCTCCTCACTCCTCATCGCTACGGCATCCCACTATCCCCATCCCGCTGTTCATTGTTTCGACCAATATCATGGATTTTGTTCGCGCCGAGAGCACAGCCAACAGCATTCGTTCTGACAAAAATTAGATACGCATATATACGGCACGGCACTGCCATTATTTGAAAACTACGTGCGCATATATATATATATATATATACATATATATATATATATATATATAAATATAAATATATATATGAATACGTTTTCTGGAAAACAAATACGGTTCCAATCTATTAGAATTGCTTGAACAATAGATACGTTTAGATACGGCGGCGCTCCCGTGCAGGCCGGGGGCGCGCATCTAAAAGTAATATCTATATTGTCGCCGTTGCAGAAAATACATACGATGGGCTTCTCGCCTGCACCTGGGTGCGATCGCATCTAAACGCATCCTTTTTCAAAGATGCGTCTTGCAGGGTCATCCTCCCCTGGGGGTCCCGGGGCCTCAGAAAATACGAAGACATGCCAAGAGTGCCCCAAGGGGTACCCGAGACGGTCCAAGAGGGCCCCCAATCGCCAAACGATCGGTCCCAAACACCTTCACGCCCTCCAGATTGCCAAGGAGGCCTCCAGGTTGCTCCAGGCAGCCTTTAGGCGTTCTCGCCTTTTCCACTTCCCGCTGCTCCAAGACGGCGCAAGAGGCCCCCCAGATCGCCCCAAGACTGCCCAAAAGGCCTCCAAGGGGGCCCCCAAACAGCCCAAGACTACCTAAACACAACCCAGACCGCATCCAAGACTGCCCAAGTGGCCCCCAAGACGGCTCCAAGAGCGTGCCCAGACGGGGGGCCCGAACGGACATTTCAAGCCATCGGCCCCGAAAGGCTTCCGGGAGGCCCCAAGAGGTTCCAAGAGGCCCAGAAGAGGTCACCAGGAAGCCCACAGAGGCCAGCTGGAGGTTCCCAAAAGGCCCCAAAATTTCTCCCCAGAGGTCTCAGGGAGCCTTCCGAAGAAACCCCAAGAAGCATCCCTGAGGACTCTGGCCCACGTCAGCGCCGCCGCCGCCGCCGCCGCCGCCGCCGCCGCCGCCGCCGTCGTCGTCGTCGTCGTCGTCGTCGTCGTCGTCGTCGTCGTCGTCGTCGTCGTCGTCGTCGTCGTCGTCGTCGTCGTCGTTGTCGTCTCCCTTCAGGGTCGGCGGCACTGGCTGTAAGGCCTTTGCAATACAAATGTCGTACTTGAACCGAAGGGGATTCCCTTCCCTTTCATCCCTTCCCCGCCAGAAGGGGGGGTCCCAGGCGGGGGTCGAAGGGGGTCCCGGGTTAGAATGCACTCTCTCCCCGTGGGGCGGGGTCCCGGGTCCTCACGCCGGCTTGCGAGAAACGTAATAAAGCCATCGTGACTGAATCGAAGGAGACCCCTTCCCTTTCAACCCTTCCCATCCACGGCGAGGGGTTGTGGGGGGGGGGCGTTGAGGGGGGGGCCCTGGGTCAGAATGCACTCCCTCGCCGTGTGGGGGGGTCCCGGAAGGGGGTGTTCAGGGAGGGCTCGGGTCACAATGCGCTCCCTCCTCGTCCAGGGTTCTGACATCTTCCCTCGCACGGGCTGGGAGGAAATCTCGTCATCTCTCCCTCTCCTCCTCCTTCTCCTCCTCCTCCTCCCCCTCCTCCTCCTCCTCCAGCTCTTAGCACATACTGTAAGGTCGGCGGCGCCGGTTGTAAGGCCTTCACGAGAGCGAAGAATCTTCGTCGCATGTCTTTCGCGACGCGACGGGGTCTGGAATAGGGCCCCCTTCCCCCCCTGGAGCTCCCTTCTTCGCGGTACCCCCGCGCCCCGCCCCCCCCCCCCCCCGCGCAGATGGCGACCGAGGCGCAGCCGCCGCCGTTCTCGGCCCGGACCACGTACCGCCGCCGCGCCGAGCTGGAGGCGGGCACCCCTGCCTCGGGTCGACGAGGCGCGGGCGCTCTCGAGCTCGGGGCGTTCGCGAGGCGTGGTCGCCGTTGCCGCCGCCGCTCTCGCCGCTACTGCCGCCGCCGCCGCCGCTCTCCCCGCTCTCGCCGCCGTCGTCGTTGTCGCCGTCGTCGTCGCCGCCACCGTCGCCGTCGCCGTCGTCGTCGTCGTCGTCGTCGTCGTCGTCGTCGTCGTCGTCGTCGTCGTTCTTGGGGGCCTCTCTGGGGGGGGCAATCCAGGAAGAGATCCCGCGGCGAGAATGCGCTCCCCATGGGATGGGGCGGCGAGAGCTCCAGGGGCCCACGCCGTGAGAGAGAGAGAGAGAGAGAGAAAGAGAGATAGAGAGAGAGAGAGAGAGAGATAAAAAGGGAGGGAGAGAGAGAGAGAGAGAGAACAAAAAGAAAGAGAGAGAGAGAGAGAGAGAGAGAGCGAGAGGAAGAGAAATCCACGGCGCGGGAAATCGGGGTGGAGGGGATATGGGATAACGGAGGAATAGGAGGAGGAGGAGAACAAAATATGAGAAACAGGAAGAGGAAGAAGAGGAGGCGGAGGCGGAGAGGGATGAGGATGAGGACGGGGATGGAGATGATGATGGGAATGATAATGAGGAAGAGGATGAGGATGAGGGTGAGGAGGAGGAGGCGGAGGAGGAGGAGGAGGATTTGTTCATCAGCGATACTACTGCCAAGGGCAGCTGCCACCAACTGTCAACCAAACGGGCTGGCACAGAGCGGCGGGGAGAAGAGCCGAGCTCTTCAAGTGCGCCCAGCTGCAAGACAGCTGAGAGCACTACGATGGGCGCCAGGAGAGAGCGCAAAAGAAAACTGTTCCCCAGCACGTTCCATCACACAGACGGCAACATGCACATCTCGTGTGAAAGACACCGCGCGCTAGTCGGACGAGTCGTCGTCTGACCGCATGCCTGGTGCCACGAGGGGCGCTTCGTCGTCTTCACGGCGAAGGCCTTCGACAATGCTCCGCAGAGCTTGGGAGGGGGTTGGCGCCGATGCGGCCGAGCCAGACGGCTCAGCTCGCGCAGCAGGAGCCACGTGCGAGAACTCCTCCTCCACTCCACCGTCCGACGACCCAACCTCCACCTCCTCCTCGTACCGAACATCCTCAAGATCGAACGGCTCCACAGAAACGCTTGAAAGCTTAGGACGCCTCCCTCCAAGGAGATGCGCCCAAGCTCAGACAACCCTTTGAGCCCGATCTCGTTTAAGGGGTTCTGTTAGTGTCCATTTTTCGGCGCTGTTTAACAATATAGGTATTGCGGTCCCCTGTATAGTGGCAGTCGATTGCCCAGTGGATAATGCTTGCTGGCGAGCTTTTGTTCGTAGCTACTGAAGCGTGCCCACGCTGCTCGGACGCAATGTTGGAGCTCGGTCGCAGCGGCATCGTGCAATGTGATGACTTGCCCCAAGTATTTGATGGTGCCGGTGTGTGGTAGCACTTCGGTGTCCATGTCTGCTGCGCTGATTACGCGTGCGCGGTGTCGGGGTTGGCTGGTCATAACTTTGGTCCTGGTGGGGTGCAGTGCCAGACCGTGTGGTCTGGCTGAGGCGACCAGACCACGCCGGAGAGCATGGCCTTCACGTTGGGCAGCGCTTTGCTGACTAACAAATTTCGTCGGCGAGCCAGAGATTCGTGAGTACTGATATGTCTGTAGCATCAAATGGGACGCCATGCTCGCGGCGCTGCCAGTCCTGGATGATCGGTGCCAGCACGTGCTGCAGCAACGCGTTGAACAATAGTGAACTCAAAGGGTCACCTTGCTTTGTGCCGCGGCTGTGGTTAAAAGACGTGCTGATGGCGTCGGTGCGGACCACAACTGTCTGATCACGGTACAGACGTCGGAGAAGGTCCACATATCCAGGAGACACGCCTGGGTAAAGTAACGCTTTACGCAAGCTGTCGTGCTCCACTGTGCCGAAAGCCTTTTTGAAATCCACCGCTGCGACCCATAATGTTTGATTCCATTCCGCTGCCTGCTCTCGCAACCTGTTGAACATGAAAAAAGTGGTCCCGCATACCCCGTGAGGGTCGGACGACGGCCTGGTCGTCAGGTTGTTGTCGATCCAGCGTAGGCCAAAACCTGTTATACAGTGGGCGGCTGAAGAGTTTGCACACCATTGAGATTGTACAAATCGGGCAATAACTTTGAGGACTCGTCAAGTCACCCGCTCTGGGGATCTCTGTGGTGACAATTTTTCTCCATCTTGCTGGTGTCGGAGCGTTCGGCTGTATGATCGTGTTGTGCAGCTGCAGGAATGAATGCTTTCTCAAGCTCAGGACCTGGCTGTTGGAGCTTTTCAGATCGGATCCTTGTAGTGTGAGGGGCCTTGCCGCCCTTGAGCTGTGATATTGCTATCTTCAGTTACTTTGTCGTGAAAGGTATGATCTGCTGTGGCTTTAAAGTCACGGCTGGCGATATGCAGCGAGCGTCAGAGGCGTACAATTGAGCGTAAAGTCCACGAGCGTGTCCGCGATACCCTGTCGCCGTGTCTGCTTGGTGCCATCGGTTCCGGTCATCTCAAACATCAGCGTCTTCTTCTGCCTGGTTTCCGTGGAGCGTATGTGTTTCAAATCCTTGTGCTGTTCCAACTTGGCGTTGATCCGATCCCTCCAGTCAGCACGCTTCTGCTGTCGATTGTGTTGTCGAATTCTTTTACTGTTTGATCTCTGGGCGGCGGTGTCAGCATTAGGGATCTTCTAGCGGTGCTTGATCAGGCCTGAAATGACGCTGTCGTGATGGACTTGCTTGGCGTTGTGAGCGGCAGCGGGCGTAGCTGCTTGTGTAGATACTGTTTTGGTAGCACCGCTCGCCATTGAGTCGCACAGGCTTCTTTCGATGCCGTGGCAGAGCTCCTCAGGGTCTGTCGGCAAAGCCTGGTTTGTAATTGGCGGCCCAGGTGCTGCGGGTACTAGTCGAAGTTGACGCGCGCCCACTGTCTGCTGCAGGAATCTTTGGCTGAAGACGGTTGTTGAGATGAGAGCTTGGTTTCTCCATTTGGTTGCCCTGGACAGCGAATGTGAAGTACCACGGCTTTGTGGTCCGTGTTGAGGTCTGCTATGTTGGAAGCTTCGGCGTTGATGCGCGTAGGGCGTGAGTCTCTGTCAACAGATATGCAATCATACTGCTGCGGCTTGCTCTTGCTCGTGGTGTACGCGATCTGCTTGTCAAAAGGTTTCCAGAAAAACGTGCTCGCAATTGCAAGTTTCTGATGTTTGACCTCTGGAGTTCTCGTCGCCATATCTATGGGGACCCACAAAGCGAGAGGAGACATCGTCAGAGGTCGTGTGGTCGTCCGTCGGCAGTTCAACGAGCCGCCGCTGCGCGCCAACCTGGGAGTTGAAGTCTGCGGGCATAATGGTCGTATTTTGCGTGTGCGGGCTTCTTTCAGCGCAATGCCAATGCCATCATTCATGTGTTGTATGTGTACGTCGGTGTATCCAATTTGCGGAAAATGCGCTGACACCAACTGTAATCGAATCTGGCCTCTATTGACCGTCAGCGTGGCCAATCTCGGACTGATGGCCTGCAACTCCCGCATGTATCGGCCACAGCGCGTGTGTGCAGGAGGATGGCGACTCCGTGGCACCGACTGTTGCTTCCAGATCCTACAAAAGTGTGCCCATCGACTGTGATCAAACATTCTTGTCGTGCTGTCCTCCAAGTTTCGTAAAAAAGGATGGCGTCCCAATGGCAGTCGCCCACATCACGTCGCGTCGAGGATGAGGAGGAAGAGGAGGATGAGAAAGAGGAGGAAGAGGAGGCGGAGGCGGAGGCGGAGGAGGAGGAGGCGGAGGAGGAGGCGGAGGCGGAGGCGGAGGCGGAGGAGGAGGAGGAGGAGCAGGAGGAGGAGGAGGATTTTGTACTTCCTCCGCGTCCTCGTCCTCCCCTGAGACAGGGGGATGAAGATCTCGATGCTTCTGTCTCTGGGCCTCCGGGGGGGAGGGGGGGGAAGGCATCCGCCGCCGCAGAGAGCTGGACTTCGGCTCGGGATCCTGGCCAGAGCGCGCTGTGTAGGACGGGCCTGGTGCCGAGCTTTTGAACGAGAGGAGGATGAGGAACGAGGACGAGGAACGAGCACGAGGGGGAGGAGGACGAGGAGGAGGAGGGGGACGAGAAACGAGGAGGAGGAGGAGGAGGAGGAGAAGGAGGAGGAGAAGGAGGAGGACGAGGACGAGGAGACAAGGAGATGAGGAGGAAGATGCTCCGACTCAACCGGCCCTGTCCTTCTATTACTGCGCAACGCGAGAACAGAAGAGGAGGAGGAGGAGACGGAGGAGGAGTAGAAGGAGGTAGATTTTGCCCCAGATCGAGCAAAGACATGGAGGCCAACACTTGTTTCATGATTCTTGTTTGTTTTGTTCTCTCTCGCTCTCTCCCTTCCTCCTCCTCCTCCTCCTCCTCCTCCTCCTCCTTTGCACCCTTCGTCAGAAGAATCTGGATGTGGAGGGGGAGCAAGGGCGGAAGTACGCGAACGCAGGATGATGGGGCAAGCGGCATCCACGGGGCCACACTGTACGCCTTGGCGACTCTGCGCGTCCTGCGCGCGCCTGGTGGCGGAGCAGACCTTGATCCCCAGATTGTGGAGCCACGGCTGTTTCATGAGAGATGTTGGCTGGCTTTCGAGCAGCATCGCGAGCAACCGCCGATCCGACCCTGCCCGTGCAGCCTCGGGGCACGCGCAGGGGGGCCTCAGAAGCTAACCCACTCCGGTGCCGGGTGCTGAAGCAGCCGCTGGGCCCGGCAGACCGCTAGAGATGCCTTATGCGACTGGCACAACAAGTGCACCTGCACTGTCCGACTCGCCGTCTGCTGCTCAGAATGCGATAAGAAGAGGCCCGGCGGGACCCGGACGCGCAGCAGGGGCGCCGTGCGATGTCTGGGCGGAGGGGCAGGAGGCGCCAGTGGAAGAGACGGGCCGAGGACGCTCCGATTGACGCGGCGCACGCGCACGCCAAACCCGCGCCGCGGCATCTG